AAAAAAAAAAAAAAAAAAAAAAAAAAAAAAAACAATAAAGACCAATTTACTTGATCAGCCATGAGCTTCTGTCTTTCCTGGACGACTTGGCATTTGGCGCATGAGCAATCCCTAAATGGACAGCATCGTTTGTGTCCTTTAAGCCTCGCCATTACTGAATGCTGTGCACAACGCTGACAATTTGGCCGACGTTCTGAAAATTATAAAACTGTTCGCTTTTATACGCTACACTTATTTTATACGCCAGATAAGTATAAACAAATAAACAAATACAAATATATATATATATATATATATATATATATATATATTTGTGTTTATTTATAGATTATATATATAATAGCGCGTATTTTAAAAAATTACATGTGCACCTAGTAGATACGCATATTATTAAGTCAGTATACAGAATAGAAAAGTCTTCCACTATTTTTTGGTTGCTATTTAAGTTGCTAATATTTGCTTGTGTCAATCATTTCTTGTTTTCTTATTTATATCTTATAATTTAATGTCTTAAAACAGGTTCAGTTTAAAAAAAAATGAGCTGAAAAATATGCTAGGTTACATGTAAATGTGTATTTGAACGTTTGTGAAATATCTGCTCAAATAACGATTGGAAAAATGCTTATCTGCATTTTTGCACAATGTCCAACAATTGTTGATGTAAAAGATATATAAAACATTTTTAGCAGATATATCTAGTGGCCCTATTGACTGATGGATTAAAGTTGTACTCAAGGATACTGTATCAAGAAAATTCAGGAGATATAATTGCTGGTTTAGCAGTTGATTTCAAACAACAACAAGAAAAATAATGAAAAGAAAAAGAGTGATACCTTTTCCTTTTGAGGTTTGAGGTGAAGAAGAAATATCGTTAAAAAAGGCGGTTACATTTGAAACGGGGTCTGCAGAACCGGATGCTGGCGGAGTAACGTTATCAAACTGTAGCAAACGAGAATTCAGTTCTCGACGACGGTCAACCATCTGAAAGAAAGTACAGGTGATTTGCCTGCATCAGCAGCCAACCAAAGCTCTGTTACTGAAAGTTTTATTCAGCTATCGAAAAAGTTCTAAAGCAAAAAGATTAACAAATAAAAAAAAAAGTGATAAAAATCAGCTGTTGATAAGATTATAAGTGGTACAAACTATTCCTACAGAAATGAAAATGAAGGTGTATGTTCAGAGACTAATAATAATACTTGAAAGAAAATGTGTTTTGCTGTTAATATTCAAGCAGTAAAATGGTAGAATTAATTTTAGTTTCTATCTGGAAATGTGTATTTCAGTTTATTAGAAAACTGAAATAGAAAAGAAAGGCGAAAGTAATGATAGGTAATTTTGAAATAAAACTTCATGGCCAAACAAAAAAAAAAAATAAAAAATAAAAATAAAAAATAAAAAAAAAATAAGAAAAGAAAATTTAGATCTCTAGAATCTGAAGTATACAGATTTTTTAAAAATTTTTTCTCTTGTTTAAATGTTGAAAACTTATTTATTATAGTAACTTAAAAAGCACTACTTTTTTAGATGCTAAATTTTACTATAAAGAACCGACTGGTATCCGCAAATAAAAATAAAACAAAGATAAGCAAAAAATGAATTCAATATGTCAACATTCCCTCTATTCGTTAGCACACTTAGTGACACTGTTAGTTCTTAGATACGATAAGCAAAAAAAAAAAAACTATCTCCTGCTACTATAGCCTTCCAATCTAACCAGTGGCTCTAAAACTGCCTATTAAACATGGATGATGACCCAACAATCTTTTTTTTTTTTATCTTTTTATATATACCAAATAATACCCATAAAACCAAAAAGGGTTTTTTTTTTTCGCTTTTGCCAAATTGCCAACATCTCTATCCCTAATAATTTTGTTGCTTTAGCCTTTTCTTTCTTTTTTCAGCTATTTTTCTAACACTGTTATTGGTTCATCTTGTAACGTGCTTCTTTTTTCCTCAAAAGTTCATTTCATGCAGTCACAAGGATATCAACTAAAGCCTTTGACTACACATATTGACAACAACGACAAAGACAACAACTATAACGATGACAACAACAAATATTCAGAATTCCAACAATGCGTCAACAAATGAGAGTATAACGAAAAAAAAAGACAAAAACGGCAGCACCAACAAAGACATTGAAAAATATTGCTTTTTTTTTTTCAAAAACAGTAATATCTCATTATATTCGTAAAAAAGAAAAAGGTTTACGAAAAAATCATATGGTATGTAAGCAAATATCCAAAAAAAATTTCTTTCTAGCAGTTTTCTGAGTTCTTTAGGGTGGTGCTAAAAACAGTGTAATCTGATGAATTATTTTGTCTGCTGTTTGCTCTGTTGTCAGCGCTTTAAAAAATTTGGTCAAAATTAGCAAAGAAGGCGAGCAGCAATATGATTAAACTCAGTAAGCTTTCAGTTATAAACCGTCTACTATACCAAAAACTTGGAACATCTAAGACAACCAGTCAGGCATTGGATTTGTTAAAGTGGGTCTTCCAATAAATCATCTTATTTAGTCAACCAAACTATTTGATTTCAATTCCAGTATGGCGTTATTACAGTTGACTATAGAATGAACTAATTTTCTTTTACAACATTGGAACATTTACATAAATTGTGCTATCAGCAAACCTCAGAATAAAAAAAAAAAAGACAAAAGCGCAAAATATGCATTATTGTTAATGCTCGAACAAAACTAAAAACTCAAAATAAAACTGAAAATAACAATAAAAATAAAAAAAAAAATAAAGACAAAAGCCAATAATAAAACAAAAAAACTTATTGGAAAAACATTTATTATATATATATAACAGAACAGTAGAGTAAAAAATGAAAAAAAATTTTAAAAGTGGCTAATAAAATTCAAAACTTACTGCTGTATTTATTTGTTTGTTTTTTCTGCATTCTTCAAATGCAATTTTTTTATTGGCGATAGTTTTTCGCTAATAGTGAAATTCAATTACGCAGTTAAAAAGGCACAGACGGACGCAACAGAAGAAATAAGAGAAAAAAAAACGCATTTACGCACTAAATTTTAGCTTAAACTTAAGTTTTTAACCATAGTTTTTCCCTTCTTTTTTTTACAGTAAATTTAGTAATTAAAATAAGCAAACGACGTCAGCAAAAATTTATACGGTAAACGTAGAGCAAACTGAAGGCCTTTCAAAACGTACATATACGCATAAAATTTTTGACAATTAAAAAGCGTTTTAAGTAACACTGATTTTTACTTTATTTTATCTTTGTTCCTATTTTTTTCTTAATCAAACAAAAATATAGATTTTGCTTGTTATGTTAAATTATAAAAAAACAAAAATTATGTTCGAATTGGCCACACAACGATGCAATTATAAGCATGCAACAAAAAAAAAACATTTAAAAAAACGAAAAAAATTTCTTTTTTCTTCTTCTTCGCTAATTAAGCCTTTGATCACAATAGAAAGCGGAAGAAGGAAAGAAAGAGGTGAAAGAGAAGAAGAAAGAAGCAAAAAATTAATTTATGTGTCTAAGTGCCTATACCTTTCGGTGTCTACGATTCATCTATATCAAAATCAGGTTATTATACACTAATCGCAGAGTATCAAGTCTTAATAGAAAAAAACTTGAAGAAAAGTGGATTTTGTTAAACAGAAAAGAAAGCAAATGTCAATGAGTAATAGTTATAGCAATAGCGAACTACATTAGAGAAAAGACCTAAACAACCACCTTGTAGTCCCGGTTAAATAATAACAAGCTATTTTTATCAACATTTTTACAACTTTTTTCACTAAATGCAATTTTGTTGTCAGGTATCAAAGTGTTTATTAAAAGTGCGAAATTTGAAAAAGCTTTAAGCAGTCAAAAAATAAAGAAAGAGAAAAGTAAGCATAACTGTCAAAATAACGCTATTAGTTTATTGATTCCTGTTTTCTGTACTAAGAACATTACAAGACAGACAATACACAGTTTGTACGCATTTGTAATGTTGCCGTCACCAGCTGAAGGAACGAAGGTCTTCACTAAGCCTACTGGCATCATCTTATCATCATAATCATTCTTACAACAGTATTTTAGACTGAGGAACATCACTGAAATGCCACTTACCTGACAGTCATTACAGACACAGTAGCGATATGTACATTCAGCTTTGTGGTTTTTTCGTTTAACTTCTAGTCCATGGTTAAGACATCGCTGGCAGTAATACACTCTTTTTTCGTAAAATAACTCAGGCACTATATCCTCAATGTTCATTTGAAGCAAAACCCTAAAAAGAAACAAACACTGCCAAAACATCGCAGCTATTCTTAGGCTTTGCTCTTCTGTTTTACTACCATCAAGATATATATATATATATATATATATATATATATATA